GATGGTTGACTTTTTACAACTTTCTCCCATCTCCCGACTGCATCTCTGGAGCTCAGCCACAGTCATTTTTGGGTTCTTCTGTACCTCTCTCACCAAGGCTCTTCTCCCCCGATAGCTCAGTTTGGTCGGACGGCCAGCTCTAGGAAGGGTTCTGGTCGTCCCAAACGTCTTCCATTTATGGATTATGGAGGCCACTGTGCTCTTAGGAACCTTAAGTGCAGCAGAAATTTTTTTGTAACCTTGGCCAGATCTGTGCCTTGCCACAATTCTGTCTCTGAGCTCTTCAGGCAGTTCCTTTGACCTCATGATTCTCATTTGCTCTGACATGCAGTGTGAGCTGTAGGGTCTTATATAGACAGGTGTGTGGCTTTCCTAATCACGTTCAATCAGTATAATCAAACACAGCTGGACTCAAATGAAGGTGTAGAACCATCTCAGGGATGATCAGCAGAAATGGACAGCACCTAAGTTAAATATATGAGTGTCACAGCGAAGGGTCTGAATACTTATGACCATGTGATATTTCAGTTTTTCTTTTTTAATAAATCTGCAAAAATGTCAAAAATTCTGTGTTTTTCTGTCAATATGGGGTGCTGTGTGTACATTAATGAGGAAAAAAATGAACTTAAATGATTTTAGCATATGGCTGCAATATAACAAAGAGTGAAACATTTAAGGGGGTCTGAATACTTTCCGTACCCACTGTACATAACATAGCACTATATCATTTTATCAGGAATTTCTTTCTGCACTTTCATGTGTCAAAATGTTCAGCATTTTCAGGGCAATCTTTCAGCACACAGCATCCACACGCATTTTCGACAGGAAATGCATTTCTCTAGTTGCTTTATTATAAAGGCCTGATTGATGCAGTACTGCTGAGAAGGCCATCCTTCTAACAGCTTCATCCATCGCTGCAGGGGACTTCTGATGCTCTGTTACAGTGACCGCTGGGTTCTTACTCACCTCCCTGACCAAGGCCCGTGTCTTTGGTTGTTCATTTTGGTCAGATGGACACTCTTGTTGGTTCCACACTTCTTCCTTATCATTATTATTGATGCCACTGTGCTCCTGGGAGAGATTTAGATTTTAATAAATTAGCAAAAATTTTTAAGATTGTATTTTTATCATTATAGATTATTAAATGTAGATTAATTTTATTCATTTAAATTTCACTCCACAGAATATAATGTCCAAAAAGTGAAGGGATCTGAATGCTACAAACACAGCCTCTGTATTTACAAACCACTCAGTGTGGTTGGCCCCCTCCCCTTTTCTGCCCTCTCCTCTCCTCCTCATCATCTAACCAGGTAGCCCATATGTGATGGACTAGGGGACAACATGGGAAGAATAGCTTCATATTGATTAATTAATGTATCCCCACGCAACAGTAAATAATGACGTGTCACCACGGCAATACCAGAGAGATAGCATCAAGTCAAAACATCAAGGCCATGCTGGGTGATGGATCACAGCTTCTCGCCAAAATCAATGCCACTACAAAAATAAAGAGCAAACGAATGTGGTGCGTGTCTGCTTGTGTGTGTTTGAATAGTAATACATGGACACTGAAGAATACAAGCACACAATTGGTGCATACTAATGCACAGATATGCATACACACACACAAACGCATCGACCAACTCACACATACCACCAGGTCCGAGCTCTGTGCCTCCCTGTGCTGCTGTCATTCAAACAAATATCTCTCTTCTTAAAAGTCACCTTCCCTTCGGGCTGCTGTGGAGTGCAACGTGTCGAGAAAGAGTAAAGCTCCTCTGGACAGCATTGTGTCTGATAACAGCATTCGATTAATGACTCCTGTATCGGCCTGCCACGCCGCCTGGCCTAAAAAAAACGGGAGATGGCCTTTTAAAAAAATAAATATATTGATTTTTTTTTACCTGTCTCAGATAAGGTGGAGGTAATTAATGATGACGTAAGTGTAAAGTGATTTATCGGGATTGAGCTGAGTAGGCTTGAGGTGCCTGGTGTGAGGAGAACAGGGACGCACATATTTGCATGCATTGCTCCAATCTACTCTCACACGCACATCATGGACTGCTGCCATTGGTGCATGATGCCCAGGCTGTAATCAGTTGTTGTTCACACTGCCTGCACAGGTGAAATAGTAATAAGTCACTGTCTCACCATCCTGCTAACAATTTACCTGATTTAGCTGACACAGGAGCGTGAGTGTGTGCATGCATGTGTGGATACACACACAAACACACCCATCCTGTTCACTCACTCCTCTATGTGGCGGCTCTTTATCACTATTGCTGTTTTCCTCTGTTTCTCATACACACACACACACAAGCAGAAATGCTGTAGGCTTTAAAGTCAGGGTTATCTATTCTGTGTGTGTGTGTGTGTGTGTGTTTACCCCTCTGGTAATTCCTGTCCTGATGGCATCAGTAGCTTTAGAGAGGCATGTAATCAGCTCATTCTGAGGTGTAGCTCATTGAAACCCGGGGGGTAGAAGGGGAGGGGAGAGAAAAACGAGAAAAGGGGGAGGATGGGTACTTTGCTTAAGAGAGCTGTTATGGCTCTTTAAACTAGTGCATCACTCCACACCAGCTCACGCATGGACACGCCAAACCTACTGAAACTACACGCATGAGGTATTAGTGTGCATTTTGTTCTTTGGAGCATCTGTCTCTCTATTTGCCCCTGCCGCTGTCTCTCTCACAGTGTCCATGCTCTACTTTTCTCTGTCTGTTCCATTTAGTTTCAGGCTCTTATCACAAACACAGGCTCTTGTTCTCCTTGGGTCTCTGACTACAAAGTGATTTAGTCTGCCCCTGCATCCCTCAGCTCTTTCCTCACTGTTTCCTCAGAGTGAGTGAATTTGTTAATCAGACATGTCCCAATTCCACACTACATACTGCACTAACTAGGAGCAGTTTAAAAGTATGTATTAGACAGATCAAGAGTAGGCAAATGACAAAATAAAGTGCATATACTGAAATCTGCCAGTGTGCATACTAAAGAGTTTTAAGCTTTCTAAATTTGTGCTGTTGAGCTACACTATTGTCCCACAGTGCAATGCACAAAATACACAGAGGAGCTTTTCACAGCTGCAGAATCATTAAAACTAATTGCAGATTGTGATGGTGCAGCTTGAGAAACTGTGTGGCTGCTTGGAAAAACATTTTTCTTGCTCTTTGTGAGACTTAATTGGTAGTGGCATTTTCAAAGTTGCAAATTGATTCATGTCAGTCGGAGCACTTAATGCATCATTTCCTAATAATGCAGAATGATTAAGTACATCAACTTTTTTTTTGTTTACTTCATGCAAAACAGTGTATTATGGCTGTTAATATGCAGCTGGACAAAATAATTCCAACTTTAATTAATAGTTTTTTTTCTGCACGTTCAGCTCCATCACACAGGTTTCATTAGCAGAGTTTGCTCAATTGTCATGAAGATTCATCTGTTGAAGGACGCAGCACAAGATGATTTTTATTAATGATAAATCTACAGATTATTTCCTCGATTAATCAGTTAATTGTCCTGTCTGTTAAAGGTCAGAAAATCATGGAAAATGCTCATCAAACCTATTGTCATCCTAGTGCGGCATCTTTACATGTCTAAAAAGCAAACAAACACACAGAATATTCATTTAAAAAGCTCGAACCACATTTGTTTTTGCCATTTGATTATCAGAATTGTTGCAGATTGAGCTTCCGTTGATTGAATAATTAATTAATCAAACTTTACAGTTGATATACAAGTAGCTGTAATGATTCCTTCCATAGCTCTGGTAAATGCTAGTAAGTGGACCTGCTGCAGAGTGACTGCCAACTGCCACACTGACTTCTGTGTACACAGTATGAGGCAGGTGGTCATAATGTTATGGCTGATCAGTGTATATAGTTAGTATGTACTATGGAACTGAGACACAGCAGTAGATTGCCCAATAAAACCATTAGTCAGCCAACATGATTTATACAACCAGATCAGTGGTCAAAATGAAATCAAAACCAGTTATACATGAATGAATTTTGATTTTTATAATCAATATCCTCTGCCTCTCTTTGGTATTGATAGATATACACAGGCTAATTTGGCATTCAGGGGGATTCAGCTTTAAAGTCCATTTAAATGAAGTTTGGACTTTGGACTTAGTAGAAATGGGCATGTAGCTACTTACTCTTACATTTCTTGCAGACAATTAATATTGTCTGCAAGAAACTGTGTATGTAGCACACAAACACAACTACATCTGTACAAAACACACTCATGCAGACATGCACACAATAGCCCAGTGAGAAGATGGACGGATTCCCCCCTTTTCCTTTTCGCTTTCTTTTTTTACCTTCCCTCTCCTTTGTCTGGCCCACAGAGAGGTGTGTTCTGACAGGCACGGTCACCTGTGTTCAACAAACGTTGGAGGGTTGGTTGTTAATCTTCAGTGCCTTAGTTCAAGTCTCTCTCTCCCCCCCTCACTCTCTGTCCATCCCTCCATTCTTTCCAGTGTTGCTGCAGCTGGCCAACGATGCATTTCCCAGGGACATGATGCTGGCTCTGTCCTACTTACTGGCCCTGCCTCAGGTACAACAACACACAGCTTTATTTTACACACACATACAAACAGACTCTGGTCTTAGTAGCAATGTAACTGTGATTGTAGGCTGAATGAATCCATATTCTCTAATGATTTCTTATCTTTTTAGAAGGGCCCAAGGACAGTGTGTGTCATGTGCTGTACAGATTGTAAAGCCCCCTGGAGGCATAATTGTGATTTGTGATACTGGGCTATACAAAGAAAATCTGGCTTGACTTAACTTGGCTGGATGAGCTAATGTGGTAGACCAAACTGACCAAAATGGCATTACCCATACAGTACTCGTCAGTTTTATGATTCCTTCGATTCCGTCAATATTCACATATTCCACAAACGTGCTAACATTTAGTTACTTCTCCACTGGTTTGTCGTCTGATTCTCTGATAGCTAAAAAAAAAGTGAAAAAGCAGGATAGAAAGAAACCTGCTGCAGACAGAAGTAGATTATGTTCAAGTGAAGGTAATGAATTCTCTCATGAGTCTTAGCACTTGTCACATCACCAATGAAACATTAACTGCTGGAGTGGATATTACATAGATATTTCCTGGAGAGCTTGTTAACTCCAGTCTGATTAAAGTAACATGGCTAACAAACTGACTGCGTGGGGTCTGTGTGGGTTGACACAGCACCTTAAGTACAGACTTTTTTTTATTAAGTCAGTGGCTTATGAGTTTGAACTGTGGATTTATTTGTGGACCATAAACTGTTTTATCATAAAATAGTTCATAGAATGAATATTTCAAGATGCTGTGATGGCAGCATCTCTAGTAATTTCTTCTTATATTTGTTCAACCATTCATGCAGGTGTTGGATGCCAACAGGTGTTTTGAGAAACAGTGTCACTCAGCCTTGTCACTCCAGCTGGCTGCCTACTACTACTCCCTGCACATCTGCTCCCGCCTCATACCCTGCTTCAAGGACAAGAACCATGCTCTCTACCAGGTTAGCATGGTGTATCAGTTCTGTGTGTGAGGGAGAGAGTGCTAGTAGTCGAGTGAATGGAGGTATTGGGTGTTATGCTGAAGTGGCAGGTGTTAGACCTCATGCTCCTCCATCCTTCTTGTAGTTGAATTGAATGATAGTTGATAAAAAAAAAATCTTACAATCTCTGTGTAATATGATGCATAAACCCTAATTCTACAAATTGCCAGAGATAACAAAGAGATGCATTAAAGATGTTAAAACAACAAAAAGTGAGACTTATAAGATAAATACATCTACAAACAGCAGGCATTTTTCACACGGATGGAAAATCAAAAGCTTAAAGATGTGGCTTCAACAGAGGACTCGCAACATTGATCTGTTTTGAGCAGATGGTTTTAGAAGACGTTTCTTCAAACCTAAGAGGCTCAATGCAAGTTTTAGCTCTTTAGGCAGCTCACACATGTTTTTAGTCTTTTAAAAGGGTTGCTGGAGTAACTAGCAGAGTGAAAGCCTGCAGTTGGGTCTGTATTGATCTGTATGGCTTTTGACAAGACTACAGGGATAACATTGGGCTGAACCATACATATTTTAGTGTCAACACTGAAAAGTCAACGGGAGTAATGTGTTTTTATTAGGGGTCTGTGTTAGAATATATGCAGTGCTAGCAGTGTCAATTTTGACAGGAATTTTCAATTTAGTTTTAGTTTTAGCCATTTCCTGACAATTGTAGTTTGTTTCAGTCACATTTTAGTCATTTATTTGACCTAAGTTTTAGTAAAGATTTAATCTTTGGAACTCTGTTTTTATTTTAGTCAGTGTTTTAGTCATAGGTTATACATTTCATGACACTGTTATGAACTTTGTGAAGGGTATTTCCTGGCTTTAAAGATTACACGAACTGGGTATTTTTTCATACAACATAAAGAAGTGCCACTGGATGAACAAATACAATAGTTTTTTCCTTCACAGGTCATATTTATTTTCTGCAAGCCAGCAGTAGGCTGTTCTCCTCATACATTATAAGTAAACAGTCATGCATCCACAACAATTGTGAGAACTCTGTCCTCTAGTTTTTTACTGTCCCCAGTGTCTTCACCATGCCCTGACAGAATTTGGTGGGCTAAAATATGAGCTAGCATGAAAGCAAAGTTAATGCATCCTAAACCTAACTCACAATAAATGCAAATATAACATTATAACGTTACTGCTGAGAGGACTAGAGTGGCTAACATTAACTTTAACTAATGTTAGATTGTGAAAAACAGTAACACACAATAATAGTTTTGCTCTGGGGTCATGTAATATTTACCTCACACGATGTAAATAGCTAATATTATATTTATCTTGGTGTGTCACCACGTGTCTTTTCAGATTGGTTCTCCAAGAATCGTTTCTATGTGAGTGTTCTGTCCTTAAAAGTATGTTTAATCACTTTTTGGGCTCAAAAGCAGGAGCGCTGTTGTGGTCGGTATATAAAAAGCTCTAAAGAACACAATCAGTCATTTTAATGGAACAAACTGGGAAAATAACACCCAGGTTGAAAATAAGCATAATTATCCATTTACACATCACAACAGTAAACCGCCTACTGCTGCTTTAATCCAAAACCAGCACTGGTCTGCTCCTGTTTGTGAATGGGTTTGCATACGTGGCCCTGTGTTTGTGTTGTGTGTAAGATGCCTTAATTACAGCCGCCAGAAATTTTACACAGCTGACTGGCTCTTAGACGTCCTGGATTATATGATATATGACTATGCTAAAATGCTAATTTGATGCATTTGTTTGCAATGACACTATTGTAATATATGTCATTTTAAAGACTTTTTAGGCTGTTTGTTACATTATGTTCCTCCTCTTAGAAAATGAGAAAAAGAAAAAGTGAAGGCAAGACCACGAGATCAGAATATACGAGTGCGAAAGGGAAGGATAGTGGCAACAAAAGAGTGGCAGCAGGGGTGTCAGGAGGTGATTGGCAGAGGATAAGAGAAGAAATGGGTCTGACCTTTTCCTTGAGTGGACTGCGGCTCTCATAGGTTTTAGTCCAGGTGGAACCAGGGGAGGTAAAATGTTGAAATAAAAGAAAGAGGCCAGCAGAAGTGGATAAGTGTGTCCCAGTTGCCAGTCAAGGTGAGGGCCGGGCAGAAAAACGCACATTCACACACTCCCACTCAATCAGCAACAAGCTACATTCAACACAACGCACACTGTGCTCATCCCCACACACTGATGCACGTGTCGTTCCTGCATCCTAATGGCAGTAATCATTCCCCTACCTCCCGCCTGAAGTGAAGTTCAGTATTAAAATATGTACAGCTTTTCCTCCTTTGCTCTACACTTTTGCAGCTGTACCTTCATTTTTAAATTATTTCTTTTTAAATGTTATTTCCTTTGAGTTTTTCCCTCTTGAGTGTGTTCTACCAGAGTGAGTGCTTGTTATCGTTGTGTTCCAGGTCTTACCTTCACTCAGCTCTTACTGATGAGGTAGTGGCAGGTTTTACTCTAACACTGATAGAAGAAAGAGGGAAGAAAAGCTTTCAGCACTTCTACTTTCATTTCCTTCCTCTGGATTTTTAACTATGCTCTCTATGAATCTACCTTTTTCCATTTTGTTGTTTTTTTTTTTTTTATTGGTTTAATGAATTGCTATGTTGGAATCACTGTTGTGTTTCTATGTGTCACCATGACCATGCTGCTTCTTTCAGTCCACATTGCGCTGCTCTTTGGCTGTTGTTCATCCTTTCTTCTACAGTCAGTTTTGAGACATTTACCTCCACATAAGCCTGTATTGCTGTTTCACTGCCCACAATACTATCTTGACTATGCATACTTTATACATTTGTCTTGTGCTTTTTTAAGATAACCTTTGTTTACATTATCTTTTAAGGACACACGCTGTACAGCATTTTTTTTTTCTAGAAAATATAACTTGCATGCCCAGGCATGTGTTTAATTTTTAGTAGTGTATGTATGTGTGTGTGTGTGCGCCGTGTTCGATCTGTTTTCATGTGACAGAGGGAGGTGGATTCCTTTGCGTGTGTGTTGCGGTGTGTCGAGATGTCTCCAAGTGGTTCCCACTCTCCAGCTGAAGAGCAGTAACAGTGTGTCTCAGTAACTCTCACGCTCTTTCAATTCTCTCGTCACTAGCACATAATTTCATACCCAGACAATGAGACACCAAACAGTCAAACTGCTGAAGTTGTTCAATTGCAAATAGGAACAGAGCTCTCTGAGAATTTACTCGAGGGGTTTGATGTGTTTTTACAGCCTCAATCAAACCTGGTTCCTCACTGATCTGCAGATATAGGGGTTTTGCAGCTAAAACTGTCTGCAGCATAAGGTGGAGGAAACACTCAATTAACTTTATTTTATGTAGAGTTGTAAAACAGAAGATTTTAAACATTAAAAACAGGACGGCTATCATGTGAGCTATATACTACAAACAGTAAAAACCACATTCAACACAGTGTATACAGATTCATAGATGTTATACATAGTAAAACCAGTGTTGGGAAGGTTACTTTCAAAACATAATTACATTTAATTACTTTTCTAAAAAAATATTTAAACTGGGCAATAAAGCTGAAAAGTCCTAAAAGAAATTTATTATAAATTTTAAGCTTTTTATCCTAAATAATATATCCAGATGTAATCCTTTTGTAATCACCAACATTTTGATTAGTAACTCTAATTTAATTACATATTTTTCTCAGTAATTTTTCAGTAACTGATTACAATTACAGCACATTTATTTAGTGATGTAAAAACAACAGTGAATAAAACATCCCTTGTCCTTTTGGAAGGACAATGCATCCATTCTGCTGTTACCTGCCCTATCTTTACATGAATCCATACACACAATAACAATACTGATAATCTTTTGACAATGCTAATAGACATACTGTATGACTACCTCTGAAATCTTACCGTGTGCAATACTGTCTTCATAGAATTGGTATTAAAGCCTAAATGAGCGGTATACAGGTGCATATTTTAAACCTCGACACATTAATCATGCACATATTAAATCTGCATATCAGGGCGTTGTCTAAACATCCAGTCCTTTCCTTTTCTTTTATCTGTCATATGTAACCTGTTGAAAATTTAAGGGAATAATTTCTCCATAAACTAAATATAGAAATAGGAAAACAATGCAGTGCTCTGCTAAGTGGATTCATATCCCTGTGGCTTTGGGGCACAGGTGGACTTCCTGTAAATGTTACCTTGACCTCGGTCTACTTTGTTTTCTGCAGTTTCTCTAATGCATCTCAGTTAAACTGACAACAGAATATTGATGTTTAAAATGCACCGTGTAGCATATTAGTTAAGTTGTACTTTATTGATCTCTGTGGGGAAACTTTCTCTCTGGTTTTCAGCCATCTTACTGTAACTGTTTATGGGCAGCCGCAGCACTGCCCAGGGACCAATTCAAGTTCTAAGGCTAGTACTTTGGCCAGGGGTAGTTGCAGGGGAACCACAGAGTACACTCATAGTATATGTACTTAAACTGTGAAGGGAAACCCACACAGACGCAAGCAGTTAGACCATCATACGTGTTTTCAGCTTTACTTTGGCAGGTGCAGTGTTATGGCCTAATGATGGCCTAAAGTGTAAATATATTCCCTAATGTGTACACAGAACATTTACCTAAATTCCTAGTCAACCCAAAACTAATTCAGTCACTCTTATTGTGCTCATTGTGAATGCTGGTAAATAAGCCAGTGGTTCCAGAGTCACTAATATTTCTCACGGCTCACATTATTACACTAATAAATTAGTCTGAAGATGCTGCTGTCACATGGGTCGCCATCATGTACTATCTATTAATGTTGTAGCTTTGTTGTAGGGAATTCTGAAGCAATTTGTGTTGCAATTTAAAGTTGTATTACTGAACGCAGATGCTTCATGAAAATTCTGTAGCCGACCGTTTACTTTGAAGGTCTTTAACTGTTATGTTGCCATCCAGCTTTGCCTCCCGGGCATAACGGAGCAGCACCAGGCTCAATGATATGGAACCTGGGTTTTCATTATCCCCCAAGACATAATGAGCCGATTTCCACTTGCTTGCACTTGAAATTGTCATTATTTAAAGTGCTCGTTTGTTAAATAGAGGCGCTCTTTACCACAGCTGTTGTGCTGATATTGTTTACACAGCAATACACAATAATGATAATGTATGTGTTAACGTCTGTTTACCTGTGCTTGTCAGTATTTTAATGTGTACCTTTTTCCTTGTGTGTGTGTGTGTATACAATGTGCTGAAAGAAGAGCGAGAGATTTTTCAATCAACCAGTTGCCACTCCATCACCGATTATTGATGACTTACACTTGAGGGGCACATACAAACATACACAATTTTAATATAGACACACAGATCATGACTTAAGAGTTGTTTATGCAGAAAAACCTCTTAGCTCTCTGACCATTTTGTTACAGTTTAGCTCTATGATAAAAGCTCACAAATCACTGTTTGATACTTTACCTACAGGCAGGTAGTCTTCAGTAAATTGGGACGCTTATTACCACCTTTATTTAGAATATACTGTATATGATTTTTGTTGCTCTGCCTGCAGGCGCTCTTTTAACAGTGTGGTTAAGTTTTCCGACTGGGAAAAACAAAGCACAAAGTTTACTCACTACAAAGAAATTGTATTAGTAGCAAAGATGAAAGTATTTCCCTAATAGCATCAAGATTTCTTTATAAAAGAGCACTTTGCTTACATCTAGTGACATTTTGCAATTGCCTGCAGTCATTGCAGATGCTTTTCAATTCATGGGCGCAACAGGATTCAAGCTGACGGTTGTGGGATCTGACCTTGGAAGTGCCCGACCACTGAGCCAGCACCCTATTGTTGTATTGACAGGAATAATGAGTTGGACTCAGTGTCTTCTCCATCATAGAAAAGAACCATGGAGCCAAGGACTTTGCTTTCCTCTTTTTCTACAAATTGTGCCTTTGTACCACAATCAGTAGCAGTCTATATTTTACTCATGGGAGCCCTGTAGAGCAGAGTAGCTGCGCTCTACACTGAATGCAATGTTGCAGTTGACTGGGAATGTTTGAGACTAATTCATCTCTAAACCTTTGATCAGATGCACTGGTTTGACTGTGTTAAGTTACTCCTGCTTCTCTTGCTTTGCAGTCTTCTTGGTAACTTTATGTCTTGCTTGAGATCAGTCCCCTTTATGTTGTTTTATGACCTATAGTGCAGCGAAGCTTGTTCATAGACCGATTATTACTTCACACATGGTGCCCGGTTTCTCTCCCCCTTGCATTCGTCCTAATTATGTGTGCATGCTGTATACACCATTTCCTGAATTAATGCTAATGATGCCACTGACTGTATAGCTAGGTGTTAGGCATGGTATAAATATAACTCATTAGGATCATTGCTAGCTTACTTTCTGGAGAGGAAAGGCAAGGCTCATTCTGCATAACCTTCATCCTTACCACATAGAAGGACAGACTGTGTTAAACACTAGGTCAGACTGAACACTTTTGTATACATGTCGTTGTGCGGCACTGATCTTATAACATGCTCAGAATAATATTTCATTGAGCATTTAGGTGACGTTTCCAGTTATTAGAAATGCCTGTGGTGATCTAGACTTAGACATTCATGCAGTACATTTCCCTATGTGATGACGGGCTAGAGGTGGCTTTGAAATAAGCACGTAATCAGAATTAGATGATAAAACAAGAATGAGTGTTGTCTTTGATTAATTGTCAGACATTTGAGATTGCAAAAACATTGTTAGAAAGAAAGGGTTTCTAAAGATTCCATAGTAATGAGGGAGAAGGGTCAAGGAATTTGAAAGATCCAAGAAACAAGCAGTTGGAGAGATAAGGAAGGACAATCAAGATAGACAAAAGGACAAAATATTATATATGAATGACAAAGAGTGAGAGAATGTACAGTAAACAGTATTTCATCAGAAAACCGTCATTTAACTAAAGTTCTTCCAATGCTGGCCTGTCCATCTCGGTTCTTTCTCTCTGTTCTCCCTTTTGTGTCATTCTCCCTTATTTGAAAATGGTGTCCAAAATGGTGCCTACATTGACAAGCACCAGTGCCCTGTTGCTCCTCTACTCTCCATTTCTCCTGGCTTATTTCCTCCTTCCTCTGACTTCCTGTCTATACACTTTTAATATTCTCCCCTTTCTACCTTTTCACACTCCCCCTCCTGTCCTGCTTTTGAACTGTGAACCTGCCACCAAGGCCACATCTAAAAACGCACACATGCTGAGAGCATGAAAAGAAACACACATACAACACTGATTTCAAGCTCACACATTTTCAACATCCGTAATTGCCTTATGCAAATCAGATGAACAAATAAATAATAAATCTCATCCTGCTGGGCAATAGCATATAAGATGCCAAAAACCAACTTCAGGAGCTCATTTAATTAGAACAGAGGTGATGAGAGAGATACAATATCCAACTACCGCTCCCTGTGCCTGAAACGCTCAATCACAAATGTGTATCCACTGTCTTATTCCCCACAGGCCTGAATCACGGTAGCAATTATGGTTTGTGATACATTTACCCATATTCTTTTGGCATGTAGGGGAAAAATGTGCCTATTGAATTTCCTAATATCATCCAGGTGCAACAGTCAGTGTCTTCCTGTAAGCAAAATTAAAAACCAGGGTAGTTAGTCTACCCCTACCTTTTTCTGGAGATTTCTGAAAATGACAGTCATTTTTGAAAATAGTCTCATTAGCTAGTTACGGTGAGATACCACGCAGTGCAGGGCGTTTGAAGCTTAGTGTGTGACACAGTTAATTATAAGCCCTAAGGGCAGTTTGCATTTAGACCAACCTAGCTTCAACAATGTAGTGCACCTTCTGAGTAAGAATTGCATTTGACAGCAAATTAGGGTAAAAGAGAGAGAGAGAGAATTAGAGGGAGTGTGTCAGGAAAGGTTCTGTTGGTAGGTATTATGTCAAGTTATATACAGAAAACAAAAACCCAATACTAAAAGGAAGTTCATTGTACTCAACAGCAGAAATAAAAATATTTGTAGATAGCCATAAGTAGTTTAAAAGTGTGGCCTGCTGTTACTCAATGCACCATGCTTATGGTACTTTAATTCAGAGGAGTGGGCATGATCATAATGCTCAGATTACCATATTTATCTTTTACCACCCCATATCCTTTGGCATGTGAGTCCAACAGTGTGAAATAACATGCCCAGCGGCTGTCTGTGTGTAAACAGAACATTTGTTCCCCTTTTCATAGGCCGACCCAAAGAAGCTGATTCAACTGGTCACACAACATGTGTCTGCGTATTCAGACTGGCCAGAGGAGCTGCAGAAGCTGATCAGCCAGCTGCATGTGTACAATGAGCGCCTGACAGACTTTACCCAGGCCCAAGTGTTACAGGGTTTGGGCCGCGGCGTGGACGTCCAGCGCTTCAGCTCTGACTCCGACTACAAGAAGGAGACCATCCTTGGTCTTACAGAGTAAGTATAGGGAAAGGAATCTATATCAGCTGAATGATTACCCTCAGAGTTCATGTGTCTGCTGGAAGTGATTGTTAGAAAAATAACTCTCGGATTGGTACTATACTTAGCAAGGTATACTTTATGTGATTTGAAAGTTTTTTGTACCACATAAATGTATGATTGGTACTTCTGTTTGCTTCAACATGGTGACATTTCATGATTGTTTTCCTCCTCACTGCTTGTGTCTGTATGTGTTTAGGACACTGGATGATGGTGTCTACAGAATCGCTCTGTCCCTGGCAAAGCGCTACAGTGTTTCTCTGTGGGAGGTCTACATGACTCACCTGGAGTTCCTCTTTACAGATAGCGGGTACATGCACGCACGCGCGCGCACACACACACACACACACACACCAATACGAACACACAAAAGCTCTCCCTGAGCATTTTTAAAATTTCATTTGCCTTGGTTAGTTCACATTGTTCCTTCAGTTTGAAATACTTTTTTTGGCAATGTGCCTGTATGCTTTTTGGATAAAGAAACATGTCTGGCTTGTGTATATTTATGTATTCCCATGTCTATTAAGTTCTGTTTTCTTGCACATGACCTGGTTCTGTTTTACAACAAAATTTGCCTACATAAACAGCATACTTAAAACACGCCAGAGCAATTCAAACATGGTGTGTATGCATGTGTTTCTGTTTTAAAGTGAGAGGGGATGTGAGTGTGTCAGTCTATTTCCATAATTTATTTGCTCTCTGACTTCATAGCTAGGGATTTGACTATCTCTCCACTTTTCCTCCTTCCTTTGTTTTAATAGAATGCCGTTTCAGCAGGGTGTGTGTGCACACGTGTGAGTCTGTGATAAATATCCCCCTGTCAAATTCTGATTTAAGAAAATGGTTTCTGGACTTCACTTAACTATAAATTACAACCTTTTCCTTTTTCAACCCCTGTACAGCTGCTGATTGTGTGAGAGAGTTTTGACCAAAATCTCAAGATCATGAGAAATGCAGGACACGTATTGATATTGCAGTGTTAGCCACAAACATATGCCATATGTTCATTGATTTAACAAATGGATGGGCACAGGGATAGATATAAATAGATGGGGAAAACTTAGCGGAAACAACGTAGATGGAATTTTGACTTTCATTGAGTTCTTCAGGGCTACACATTCTTTGCATTTAAATCATCTTAACTGTATATTAGCAACCAGCCACGATGAAGTGCCTCAGCTTTAAGTCCAGTTCTGAGGCCAGCACTTGAGTAAAGGGCAGCAGCAAGAGTCTTCCTAACACACTACATTTAGTTTACATTAATTTGGCAAACAGGTTTGTCCAGTGCAGTTTAATATAAGTGCATTCAACTTCAAAGGGAACAAGAACTAGATACCATTAAAAACAGGAAATGTAGCCCTCCTAAATAAACCAGTAAAATTATGTTAGAGAGCTTGTGGCAAAAAGATGGGGATGGACTGTCTGCAGTGGGAATTCAAATCAAAACAAGGTCCAGTGAGCAATTATTTGACTCAAAGCCCTTGAAATAGAAGAGTTGCAATATTGATTGGTCAAAAACATGTATAAGGTCATGTGAGTCATGGCTTCAAATCATTCTAAACAGTCCATTCAGAGCCATTATCTTTTGTATGGAACAGTGGGATTTGTCAGCAATTAAGATTTGTTTGACTTGCACAGCCTTGCAAACTAATTCTGTGTTCTGTTGTTGTTGTAAATATCTCAACTAATTTAGCAGTTAGCTAGGTACCTAATCTGTTAAAGTGACCCAATATTTGAGAGAGAGACTGTCAAAAAGGTTGTAAAACATGATTTGACACATGTTGCTAACTTGAAATGTCACAAATATAATTATTGCTGTTGATTTCAACTTCTTACTTTAGAAGATAATAGCAAAGTCAATGTAACTGCTGCTCCTAATGTCTGGAACTATTCAGTGTCCCCATGATCTGCCATTACTTTAGAAAAAATGGTCTATATAGAGTCAAGATTAAGATGGAATGTGTTTCTTTCTATTAAAACAATCAAACATTACTCAGAAGAGTAAATTTATTTATGGGCTCTAGTCACAAAGGTATCACTGGGTCTATTACCAGGGTAAAATGTTAGTACACAGCTTCATACTGCTATATACCAAAACTCTAATGCCTCTGTGCATATCTGCAGCTCTTGACAAATAAGCACAAGTGCTAATAATATGGTAACAAATGCATAAATGTACTTCCAGTCAAATGAGCTGAAAGAGCTGCTGAGCATTCTTTAAGTGATACAAACAACCAGCATGGAGAGAAAGGCCATTAGATAGAGCAATAACCAAAGAACTAGTGTGTTCAGGCATGGAGGTGGAGGGGAGGAAGGGCCTGATAGATAGAGGAAGAAGAGATGGATGATAAAGCCAAAGTGTCCCTGAGATAGTCCTATTAACACAGAATAAATGCTTTGGAGGAATCGATGTACAGCTGAACACAGCTGTTGTCAGCTGTTCTCTCTGTGTGTCTGGGTCTTTGTAGATATATGCCGGGGCCTTTAAGGGGCATGAATTCAGCCAGTTTTATTGACATTTTAATGACAGCTATTAAACAATTTATAGCTTGTCCAAAACAGCAAGGTGTTTCTCAGGAATCACCTGCCAAGTCAGTTATACCCTGTGTTTGTTTTCTTGAAGTTTTCAGTGTCTGGCCCCTGCATCAACTCAACCATCCAGATTAGTTCTTACATATTTTGATTGGTTTTAATTGTTACAAACATACTCAAAACACATTTGTATTTGTTTTAGCATCTCTTTTTGGAAGTGTTGCTGACAGAACACTTAATACTGCTTTTCACCCAAATGTCCCCATTTGACACAGCTTGCGCCTCACTGATACCAACTCATCCTGCTGCATTTGTTGCTGATTAATTTTGGTTGAATGAGCGAGCCTTGGATGACTTCAGGCAGAAAACACACATGATGTTTTCCACATCAGTTGGCAGATAATCCAAACAAGCATCGCGTCTGATCTTTCAAACAACACAGCTCCGAGCTCCTTATTTCAGATCTTGCCTTCTCCAGTTGCTGACAACTTGTGCTGCTTTTTCTGCAAGACACTGTTTGCCTACGATAAGAAATAAATCGTCCTTTGTGGTACCTTCCCTTCTCCTTAAATGTCCAGGCACCTTGTGGCATGCAAATGATGTAAGTGCTTTAATAATATGTCAGTGTAATGGTCAGTTTATTTATATAGCGTATTTAGAAACAACAGTTGACCACAGTGCTTCACAAGATATGAGTGAATATTCTAATAAAACTAGCAATAAAACAAACGATAGACCTACTTAGAAGTATTCCTCTATATATGAAAAGAGAAAAAAAATCATTCAGTCAATACAAAAATAAAAAAAATAAATAAAGCTAATAAAACTAAAAAAATTGAGCTGTCCAAAACTGGATGACAAAGTAAATATTAGAAACCAGAAAATGATTCATAAAGTAATACATACATACATATAACAGTCAAACTGAGCTGAATGCCTTTGCATAGTAAAATGTTTTAAGTCGAAATTTAAAGTTGGTCACTGATGGAGCCAATCTGATATGTAAAGACAGCTCATTCCAGAGTTTTGAGGCTGCAGTTGCAAAGGCATGATCACCTCAACTTTGAGGTAATGTAGAGTGTAGAGAAAGGGACAGCCAGAGGCAAGTGATCAGTAGATCTGAGGGGTCTGGCAGGACAGTAGGGCTTTAAAAGGTCAGAGAGATACGGCGGAGCTAAATCATTAAATGCTTTAAAAGCCATCAAAAAGATTTTAAACTGGATTATGGAATGAAAATCACGCCAACACAGGAGTAATATGTTCTCTTTTACGAGTGCCAGTTAAGAAATGAGCAGCACCATTCTGAACAAGCTGGAGGCAGTTTAGTGAAGACTGGCAGGCCCCGATATAAAGAACATTACAGTAGTCCAAACTATTTGACCTTTTCAAGATTTTTGATTTGATTTGATTTATTCTTTCAAACATGTAAAGACAGTCAATATGTCAACACACATAATTTCACACATATCCACAAATGCATTATCAATTTGCTTATACCTAGTACATGCTTGAACGGAGTAGGAAGAAGTTAGACTTATCTAGTCCTACCCCAT